CTTGCCTTGCAAAAGAAAACCGGGACTGATTATCCTCAACTTTACTGGAACTGGCTAGCTGAAGAGACCTGGCCTCTTCGTCACTTTCCCCAAATAGGTTTGCAAAGTTATGAGGTGAAGTTAAGTATTCATCAAGATCTAAAGACATTATATTTGCAATTATCCTGTCATCTATTTCACTCCTAGAGTTTTCTTGCAAGTCGACGAAACTTTTTTCAATTGGCTGTGTGTCCCTTGCCTTGTCTGGAACCAAAATAGAATGGTTAAGACTGCCGTTTAAATGATTGGGCTCCCTATGTGGCATCTCGGTATATCCATGTGAGATGGGTGCTATATTACTTCCTCTGCTGTCAGAATAGGAAGATCCAAACACAGTCCTGGTTTCATCATGCTCACCCTTGTACTGGGATGAACAAGGCTGCATACTATTTGACGGGCGTAGGAAACCATTGGGCTGACAGCTAAGAACTTCTGGATCCTTGAGTCTTTGTCTATTGAACAACGATATATCATCCTCGGCTTCAAGATAATGATCTGTTCTCAATGGTGACATCAAAGAAGTACCTGTATTAACTTCTTCTCTCGAGACACCGACCTCATTTGCGTTAGTTCTACTGGACTTTTGTAATGGCTGAACTTCTCTAGGTTCATCGACACAACGCTGTAAATAATCTTGGGACACCTCTGTATGAGATGACTTTATGGAAGCATGATCAAAATGTGAATTGTCAGATCTTGTTATTCCATGATAGCCATCCACAGCACTATCTGCATCCACTGACACATCATCGCTGCATACACTCTGTATTCTTCTGTTAATCATTTTGTTTCCATTAGACAGCATGGATCTACTAGACTGAGAAGTATGTTCTGGAAAGTCTGTGCAATCTGATGGCTCACTAATAGCTCTAATATTATCCACACTGACAGAGACTACTTCCCTACTATTACTGATCTGGGTCTTATTAGACACGGAGAGCTCAGGAAAATCAGTTTGACCATCCAATAGGCTTGGTGGTTTCAAAGCATTTCCATCTGCAGTACGATTATCCTCTAATGTTGGCTTCTTTAATTCATCACTGCGATGTAACGACATCTGTGTAGGATTTATTGCAACCGCAGATGAGACTGTAGCAGTCTTGTCTTTTAAGGGTTCCCTAGAACTTGGTGTATTTGGTACCGAAGACTGGCTTGAAGAATGCATTCCCCTGAAAACCAGTTACAAGTGTCTGAGAAAAAGGAGGTACACAACTGAAACAAAACACTATCATAAGAATTCAGTGTACCACATGGCTCCAGCAGGAAGAGTAACAGATTGACTGTTGCTGTCATTTGGAGGAGAATTTTTAGCGACACTATGTGCATTCTGCAAAGGAGAAAAGGGCGAAAAAGAAAGAAGCCAAAAGCAGAATATATTATGCATAAACACATCTAGTCCTTCTCATAAAGTATAATTTCAAGAGGCTCCAAGAAGAGCTGGCAACTTACATTCAAAACAACGTTTGGAATTGTTCTTGTGCTAGACTCATTATCAACATAATCATCAACTGGTGGAGGTAACATGCTCCCTGAACGCCGCACATAATGATCCCTCCAACCAGTAATTTCTTGAACCATTCTCCTATTCAAACAGAACGAGAATCAGATAACCACCTAACAAGCACAACATATAGAGCAGAAGAAAGAACTGATGCAAAATCAAATCTCTCCTAGCCTCATGTAAGGATGAAAGTTAAAAAGAAAACTAGATAGTGAACAAGTTCACATCTGCATCCACAAAACATGTGCTAAATGCACTATTAATGTCAATTAAAATATACTTCACTAACAGAGCCCACCATCAGCATCAGAGAAAAACAAGAATTAACCACAATCTATTTCATTTAACTAAAAGGCAAAGCAATATCGGGATTATTGACATAAATTTACCTCATATGCACTGATATGGTCTCATCTTTTGTGAAACTATCCTCTTGGGAACCAATCTCATGCAAATAAAGGCATTCAGAATTGGAGCAAGGCTGCAGAAACAAAAAGGCATCCACGAAACACAATTGGATTTGTATTCAAGTATTTAGAAGGAACTAGTGAGCAAATGCAAGACAATATCTGTTTACCATATTTCTCAACCACGCATGACAATACTTCATGGTTCCAAAACATGCCCTAATGACATCCAAAAAAATATTAGAAATTGTACCACAACCTACAATAACTAATTTTGAAATAAAGGAAACATCACATACTTCAAATTTCTACCATCCAAAATAAATCCATGTACTGAACGGATACATCGAATTGCTTCCTCCTCTTTGGAGTAAGTAATATATCTGGGAAATTTCAATTTTAGAGACAAAAAGAAATGAAAATGTTAGCTCAATGAATTTTGTTAAAAGCAAACATGTCAAACAGACCGCAGAAAGAAAGGGGGTTCCGCTTAGCTATATGGAATCACAAATATTAGTTCATCAAGAACTAGATACAATCAATGGAATGTGTAAGGAAATACGAATACATACACACTGCAAGTATTATTTGGAAATTGTTGGACAGCCCCAGCTGCAGTCCGAGACATTGCTACTTTGACGACTTTCCCATATTGACCAAAGTATTCTCTTCGCTGAAAAAGCTGCATACATAAAAACCCGGATTAATGATATGAAAAAGGTGATCTCTTTTCAAAGCAAATGTAAGTGCCAGAAGATAAGTTAGGCTGTTGAAGTTACATCTTCATCTGCCAGGTCAAAAGGCAAGCTCATAACGTAAACCAGATTTCTCTGGATGACTCTCACACCAGTTAGATCTTTCCTTCCCTCCGAAGGTTTAGTTCTCGCCTTCTGTGACTTTTTCCGGTCATTGTTAAGTTCAGCAACCAACCTAGTGAATTATCAGAACAAAAAAAAGGATAAGTTTTTACACGTTCGACAGAAACAAAAAATTTTTGTTTTCAGCTTCAGATGTACCTTTCACAGCTGACTGTCATCCCAACAATCTTTTCCTTATCATAACGGGTACGACATGCAGGACAGCGACCCTCTGTCTTATCTTTCTCAGCCATCTCTATAATATGATGCCAACACCAAACACATATCTGCACAAAGTATTTAAATAAAAAAGGTAAAAGATTATAGATCACCACAGTAGCACAATGAATGGGTAATGTCAGTCTCAAACATCGATTATAAGAAAAGGTCCATTCACAAGATACTTAAAACAATGTGGGACAACCTATAACACAGTTCGAAATCTGAGACTACACAGCATGGTCCTTTTTAAGCAGAACACAACTCTCTACAGAGGCATGTGTTACTATATATACACCATACAGAATTAACAGAAGCACATATTCTTTTAATGACTCTTTGGTGCTCAAACTCAAAATAATGTGCTATGAAAAAAATCTGTTCATAGCAAATTATTTTTAAACTACCAACCAGAGTAGTTTCAATACCAAATTAATACCCTCAAAGAAACATATCAACTGCCAATGGTTTCAGACTATAAACAAGACCCCAAAACACATTCTGCAACAAACAAGAGAGCCACATTTAAAGGGAAGTGGTTTAATAATAATGTATCAAACCTGATAACCACATTTGCAAGGTTTAAGATGTTGATCAGTCAAGTCCATCTCCTCTGCACATAGAGGACAAGTTTTTTCTCCTTTCTCATTCATCGTTACCTAATCATATTTTAATTAAACAAATTATTAAACAATCATTAGAATCAGAACATAATCCACAATTCTCAATAATAAAAAAAAACACTACCGCAACTAGACATTACTCCTTTTAAACAATGGAGAAACCAGTGAAGACAAATCTCAAACCAAAGTTAACTCTCAAAAACACAAAGGAACAATTTTTATCAGAAAGAAAAACTTTTTCAACTCTCAAAAACCTTAAATTTCGAAAAGATTATCAAGCAATGCAAAAAAACTTTGACCCACTCCAAAATTCCAACAAAGGGCCACGAAAAGGTTCAAGATTCAAGCTTAAAACTCATACGAAAGTAGAAATCTTTAACCTTTAAAGCGAATTTGGTGGAGAAATTGAAGTTCGTACCCTTTGGAATCAACGAACAAAAACCCTAATCCGTACGTTAGGCTTTGAGAAAACGCGGTTTGAAGAATTGGGTGGAGAGATAATGAAGAAGAGAGTAACGGTTTTGGGGAAGGAGAAGAGATTTGCAGAGGGAATTCGAAGGAAGAAGAAGAAGAAGATTTGCGAAGAGACGAGAAAAAAAAAAAAAAAAACTGTGGCTAAACCTTTGTTCTGCCAATGGCTGGTGTTTTTTCAAAGATGTCAAATTCAATTTTTTTTGTCAATTAATATTCTTAAATAATAATTATTATACCTAATTTATTTTTCATGTTCTTTTTTTTTGACGGCAAGTTATTTTTTCATGTTAGAAGTACATTAATCTCATGTGACCAGTTTTTAGGTTTTCTAAAACCTATTTTTCTTATTTTTTTAGATATTCCGGTTTATTTATTTTGTTGACTGGATAAATATTGATATTGAATATTGATTAGTCGTGTGTGGTTAAAAGTTAAAAGGTAAAATACTTTAGTCCGGTTTATTAATTTAATCTCAAACACTTAGTCCGGTTTATTAACTGTTTTTGGTTTATTAGTTAAAACACAAACACTTAGTTAGTCCGGTTAAACACATACACTTTATGTGGAGAGTTGTGTCTAGATGACTCGACCTGTTGTGGTGTGACATGGCCGGTGAGTAGGTAGTTGTTGCGGCGATGAATTCATATCGTGAAACCAATTATTTTCGGAAAAAATCACTTAAATTTAGAGTTTAGGTTTAATTCTACTTGATCTACTAAAGATTTAATAATCAACTTCGGATTTAATCAAAATTAAAATATGTAAAATCGATTTACCTGTTTATCATATATCTATATCGGTCTAGTTTCGTTAGAAATCTTTTATCCCACAACTTAAAATTATGATCAAAATTTTTAATTTTTAGTCTAGAATTTTCGGTCTACACTTTCATATTCGGACCATAAACATTCCACTGAAAACCAATCCACACATACTCACAATCAAACATTTAATTTACAAGTTTGTTCTAAAATCAATTAAAATTTACGTTTCATTTTTGGATCGATATTGTATAACTATCCTACCATATTCGATCCTTATTTGGAAGCTCGGAAATGACATTGCGGCTAGGCTTGGCAACAAGGTGAATGTCCCTTTAGTCATTTTAGTTGTCTTTACAACAAAAATTTGACCATCAATAGAATCCCGTATACCGTTGAACTAACTAACAAAACTAAACAAACAAAGTTGAAGCACAACTAGGCCGAGTATGTGGCATACTGGTAATTCGGGAATAAAAAAGAACAACCTACAAATATTAAAGAAATATCGCAAGCACAACAATTTTCTGATCAAGTTCAGGATATATGAGCTCGATATCCTTCGGAATGTTAGATTAATGCGGAAACGTCCGAATGATTTGGGTGTGTCTACTCAAATTTCTTGCTCTTGAAAGTGGAAAGTAACGCTCCAGTTCTGAGAAGGTGGGTTATATCTCAAATCATTCAAGCATTTATGAGTTATTTAATTGCATTTAGGTTATGATCACTTCTTTACCGTTGCGCCAATAGATTCTATAATGATATACTTTATATTATCATATGATGAATTTAATGTCAATTCTCGAATAATAAGATAATTGACTTTTCATCGGTTATTCAAAGAAATGAAGTTCTTATTTTTCTTATGACTTCTGTATATAGTGATCTGGTTACACAATATATAGAACAAATTTGGAAGAAAATATAGAAAATATCTAAATATTTAGCTTATAGAACACCTTTAAGAAAATGTGATGATTTTTAAGAGGTTTCTAGAAAAACTCTAGGAATGTAACATTGTAACCTACCTAGTACAACTATAAAATAACGTTTGGGAGTTAATCCTTGTAATTTTAAAGGATTGGTGTTTTTATATTTCAATAACCAAAGACCTGTAATGATTAAAAGATTAAACTAGTCTCTTCCCACCACTTAGACTTACCGCAATTCGATTGGTGAACTAAATAAATATTTGAATAAAAATATGAGTTTTATTGATACCAAAGCAATTAAGGGAAACAAAACAACACCATATACAAGAATCAAAGAGTCAAGGAAAGTTTGGAATACCAAGAAAGAGATGCGGTTATTATGAATTTACAAAAATCACTCCAAAAACAAAATACACTATGTACACATACTATAGAATAAAGAGGAGTCTGATGCAAAACCAAGTGACAAGGAAGCAAGCTAACAGTGTTAAGATGATAACACTTACAAGAAAGAGATGCGGTTTAACGTTCATGTCAAACAACAATGGCTTAGAAACATATATATGAGCGAGGTACTTGGACAAGAGGGACTTACTAAATGCATTTTTGTAGTCACACACGTTCCCGCAGAGCTAGATAGTTTAGTCATTTCTTTATGGGTTTTGTAGGAAGAAGATAAGAAACGAAGTCTTGTGGCTTCGTCTTCCCATTTAACTCTTTCTATCCATTCCTCCTCTCCGTAATTTATGACAAGATCTTCACCTACAACACCACTTTTAGAGTCGAATGGAAGCCTTCTAAGTTTTCGACACTTTTGTACTTTGATTCTCTTAAGAGATGGAAAAGGTAGAGGACTCCAGTAGATGCTTTTTAACGTAGGTAAATCAATCAAGGAGAGAGATTCCAGTTTTTGAAAAGGAATAATATTACCTTGCTCTTCTCTAGCTTGATCAGCTTTCTCTTTGCTTATTATATCCTCTAGTTCATTTATCGAACCAACCGTCAGATCAATAAGGTTTGGTGCAAACAACAACCACGTCAAATCCCTTAGACCCGAACACTCTCGTATCCATATATATGAGAGGTTAGAGAAGCATGAACTTGTTGGACTTTTGTTCCATGATGGTGACTTCTCTATCTTTATCTCCAACATGTCACACTTCCATATGGCGAGACTATTCAGATTATCCATGACTGGAAAAGATAATATCTTGAATGTTTTTTCCTCAAGGTTCTTTATAGATACCTTTTGAATGCATTTCACCAACTTGTGAGCAGAGAACAGTTTCTTCAAACCCAAACTTGATGGTATTGTTAGGGTAAGAGTTTCTAGATATTCCAAGAGTTGCAGCTCCTCTATTAAGCTGTTATCTACCAATACCGTGGAATTTCGTAGTTTCAATAATCTCAAACTCGACAAATTCGATATCCCGTAAATACTCTCAAGTCTCCACATGGATTCCATATTTAGATGTAATAGTTTTTTCAACTTTTGTATTCCAACTGACAGTCGATCTATACTTGTGTATGACAAGTCAAGAAACTGCAAGGAGACCAACTCTGATATTTCTTCTGGCAATTCTTCGAGGCGGTAGTTCATTGACAGATCCAAGACTACTAGCATTGGCATAGACATAAAAAATTCACCTGAAATATTTTCCAACTTGTAGTTTGTTTTGAGAAGGAGAGTTGTAAGTTGAGGACAATCGGGGTTGCCAGATATCATTTTGATGTTAGTACGCATCAACGACATACTTCTCACAGTACTCCAATCTTTAGCTTTGGGTACTTTGCGTAACTTAGCTCCACCTTGTACAATACATCTCTCCTTGTGATTTCCAAGATAGCCATTTCACGGACCACATCATGCATTTTCACATATGATTTAGTCTTTGCATCCTCCAACAATAAACCTGCACGTAAAAGGGTACCAAGTATCTCATAACCTTGGTTTAGAGCTCTTTCTCTACCATCTTTCCCATCAACAAAACCCTCGCATATCCAATACTCTATCAATTCTTCTTTACGTATTTTGTGATCTTCAGGAAATAGAACACAATATTGGAAGCACGACTTAACATGTTCTCCTTTCAAAATGTCGTAGCTATACTTAAGAATGTTGAACCCGAACCCCCCCAGGGTTGGTAACATCATGTAAAAGATGGGAAAAAGCTCTCATAAGACAAACACAAAGATGGGTTGAATAGATCGTATAAATTTGTGGAGAAAATAATATAGATTCCGTTATAGCTGGACTCGAGAGACGAGCTGCCTACGTACCCGAAGTGGGATCAAGCCAAAACGTAGTTCGATTACAACAAAAAGAATGTATTTCGTCATTATTAGGAATGACATTCGTCATTATTAGGAATGACATTGTTTGTGCCTAAATAATGGTGAGAAATGTAGAGGATGAATCTTGTGTAGAAGAATATGGGTCCCCCTTTCTTGGAGTCTTCACTTCTCTTTTATAGCCTCTTCCTTCCTTCTAGGGTGTCTTTACTTGGCCATTAATTTCAGAATTAACTCCACAAAATAACTCCAATTTTTGGCAATTAACTCCTAATCTTAAACTAGATTTGAACCCGCGATACACCGCGGGGCTTCTAGGGTGTCTTTACTTGGCCATTAATTTCAGAATTAACTCCACAAAATAACTCCAATTTTTGGCAATTAACTCCTAATCTTAAACTAGATTTGAACCCGCGATACACCGCGGGGCTATAATTTTTTTAAAAAAATCTAAATATAATTAGTTTTGTTTATTAATAGAGAGTATATAATATAATATTTTGACCTATTTTATAAATGTACCATCCATATATCTATATTAATAATTTTGAGTATATTAATTGTGTTTTAGGTTTAAATGGTATATCTATATATACACTTAAACGACATTTGGCTTTCTTCTTCTTCTTACCTCAGTTTAGGAGAAAGATTTTTCTTGCGGTACACCGCGGAGCTATTTTTTTAAAAAAAATTTCTCCTTAAACTTCTAAATCTAGATTTTATCCCGTGGTACACCGCGGATCAATTTTTTTATAACTAAAAAATTATTTTGCAAAATTTTAAGTTGTATTTGTTTTGTTAATATTGTTTATTTTGTTTAGTGTTTCTGATTTTATAATTAAATTTTGATTTTTAATTCTAGGATTTCATCCATAATATATTGTTTAATATTAATATTGATCTAAACCCGTTGCACCATATAACCCCGTCCCGTAAAATTAAACATCATTTGTTATTTTTTTTGAATAATATTTTTATCCACTACGGGTTGCAGGTTCATGCGGATAAGCCCGTAGAGAGTTGCGGGTTTGCGGATCGACCCACCAAAAGAGAAGCTATCTTTTGAAACCCTTTGTTTTGTTTAGAGGTTTTAAGAAAATATCCCTAAAAAATAATTTTTATTATATGAAAAAAAGAAGTAGAAGAAATTGTAGTATCAACATTCCCGATTTTTACATCACTCGTTACAATTAATTTTTTTTTTGCAGATAAAAATCAGAAGTTAACTAAGTCGAGATTTTTAAAAAGATTGTGTAGAAATTTTTGGTAAATTGTTGAGAACATATTTGATTTCAGAATCTTTACTTAAATAGATAAGGAAAGATTTTGTAGAGACTTTTGCTAAATATATGAGAAATGAATTTCAATTAAAAATCTTTACTTAAATAAAATAAATCTAAATAATTAATGCTAGTGACATGTCATTGTAAATATTTCTCAACTTCAGGATTTATTTGCTAATTATGATCCAAAAATGTATATATAGATGACAAACTTTATTCCTTTGACTTAATTCATGAATTTAATCACAAATTAATGTCAAAATTTGACCACCCCCTTTTGCAAGATAGGGCTCCTTGGATTTTGTAAAGTGATGGTTCTCCAACATGTAAAATGGACCCCTTGCGGGATCCGGTACCAACAAAGAACAGGGAGAATATACTCTTCCATTCTTGAAAATTCTCTAGCATATGAGGTCAAAACGTGTTGTAATTCTCACGATCTCTCTATATTTTACTCTTTCTTTCTCATTTGTGTTCACTTGTTCTAGAGAGAAAACAAGAACACATTTACTTTAATCTTCTACATTGATAATTGCTTAGATACTTTTCTTACAAGACACACACACATACATATAGTGGTTTTTTCTCCACTTGCTACATTACACTCACTTAGACTCGAGACCATACTTCTAGTCATCATTACCCTAAGACTAGAACCAAGCTTACAAGCAAAGAACTACTAAACCTTACACAACAACAACTCCACTCTACTCTAGCTAAAATCATAAGCAAACTCCAACAACTATTAGTTGGACAAGCTAACAACAACACTAACACATGTTTGGGCCTAACTAAACAATTAGCCCAATCCCTTTTAGTATTACAAAACAACAAATCCAACTTCTTCTACCTTGTTGACTTGTTCTATTGTTGTCGTTGACCTCTTTCACGACAACTTCTCTTCTTCGCTAGCTTCTTCTCTTTGCTCTGTTCTTCTTCTTCTTCTCACTAAAGCTTTCTCCTTTGTTGCAGGTTTAATCAAGAACTCAATCTCAACAAAACGTCGATTGCGTGTTTCCATTCATATACAGAGGTTTTACATGACATGGTCTCACCAATGACATTGAGTGCTAACGGTAGGCCATGACATTTTTTAGCAATTTTTCTTGCTAGCATAGAAATGTCTGGATGACTCAATAATGTTTTTTGTCCGACTTTTCGTTGAAACAATTCCCATGCATCATTCTCTGCCAGATACTGAACTTCCATAGGATCATAAACTCCCATGTGTCCACATATTTCTCTAGACCGAGTGGTAAATACTACTTTGCATCCATTTTCCCTTCTCGGAAATGGGACTCCTATCTCTGTTATATCCACTTTCTTCCACACGTCGTCCAATAATAACAAGAATCTCCTTTTCCTTAAGAAAGTGTGTATCTAGATTGTTTTACAGTCCCACTCCTCATTACAAATAGCTAGTTTTTCAGCAATGTCTTCTTGAATCTTTTCTATATGTACATCTCTAGACACGTCAACCCAAATCACAAGGTCAAAGATCTGCCTTTCTTCATATAACTTATCATAGATTTGTGCGAGAAGAGCTGTTTTTCCCACTCCTCCCATATCATACATACCCATAATCCATGTTTCATCATCCATGAGGGTTTTCCTTGCACTTTCCATCATTATCTTCTGAGCAACAAGCGTCCGAGGTAGAGGCCTTTCCTCAACCATAACTCTTCTCAATGGCGTAGCCTCTACCTCAAAAACTCCCATCAGATTTGAGATTATTGACCTCTTTCCACATCAAGAAATTAAACCTTTTGACCGTAAATATAACTCTTCTTCAAATTCTTGGAACCAACACCACGAAAACACAACCACTCAAGTTCCACGACACTGGTACTAATTAGATCATTAAAGCTGTTTTCGATGACATCAACTCTATTGAGCCATACCTGAACTTGTTGAAGCCTTTGTTGACCTTTATCCTCCACAATATGCACCCTTGTCAACATGCCTTTATCCTCCACCTTGCCTGTAGGTCTTCCATGGTTTTCTTTAGAGCCGCGAGATTATCCTCGAGAGTCGAGATTATAAATGTGATTGCCTTTACCGCAAAAGCACCCACATACTTGGTTTAACACCTGATCACACGATATATTGAGGGCTATACAATTCCCCATCGTTCCCAAATAAACCAAGTTGAGAGAGATTTCCCAATACAAGTATACAACCAAGAAAGTTCACTCTCTCCTGTTTTTGAAGTCAATGCATGAAATTTGCTCAACTTGGATATAAGACGCTATCTTGCTAGCTAAAATATTTCGATAACCACAATTAGCAAGCCTCTTTGCTTTACTAATAAATAAATAAAGATCGCAATTACCATCTGACATTTTGGTTTATTTCTGGTTTTCAATTGGGATTTAATACGGTTTGATTAGTTTGTGAACTCAAACAAAAGTTAATATGGTTTAGTTAAATGCAGGATTGAAAGCTCTGTCTTGAGCAATGAAATGTCTGCTCGACCAGCCAATAATTTGTGCAATTTTTAGGACGAAATGTTAGGATCGTCTGAAGATGACACAACCTCACCATCAAAAGCTTACCATTTTGTGAGAGAAATACATATTCATCATTACCATTACAATTCCAATGTTAAAAGGTTATGTATAGTTTATAAAACGGGTAAATGATAGCCAAGTAGCCAACATAAGGTTCCATTTATATCTCAAACCTCCAAAAATCCATGACAGGGGATGTATGTATGTTTAAAAAAAAAAGAAAGAAAAAAACCTCAAAACCTCCAAAAAGAGATCTAAATTGTCCACTTCTGACATTAACTACTACGGCATAACAAATTACCAATTTGAAAGATTCGGTTAAAAAGATTCAAAAAAAAAAAGACAAAGCAGAGGAGTTACCGTATAATGAGTTTTGGGGGTTTGGAAAAAAAGCCAATTTTCTTCTATATATATTTTTGGGGGAGATTTGGGAAAGTGGGATGTGCAAATGGCTGAGGATTTTACGGTTTTTATTCATCGTCATCTGAGATTAAAGCGAAAGAGAATGGCTTGAACTTGTAACCATCTCCATTGAAGAACTTCCCCATGAATTCTACCCAGTGAAGACGCAGAGCATGGAGAAATGCACTTAGTGTTTCCATCATCAGAAGTATGAATGCTGTTGCAAACGCAAACACCGCTACTCCAATTAACCGGATCAAAATGTTTTCATACCTGTTTACAAGAGAAAAATTGTATCAATAAAAGTGAGATATTAAGTTTAAACATGTAATTTAAACTAATACTCACCCCCAGGCAAGAATAAGAACTTTCTCATAGAAGACTGTCGACAATTCCGAATGAGCCAAACTGTAAGACCAAATTAAAATTCATAAGACCATATTGGAAACAAGTGAGAAGGATTTATGGAACCTTTTGTAAAAAGCGGAAACGTTGGTAATTTACCTAAGAGCCCAAAGACGAAGGTAAGATGCTGTGTTAGAAACTGAACCTAGAACAAATTCTATGGAGTGAATCAATTGATGTACAAAAATCTCGCTGAAGTTAAACTCTTCTTCGTGATGGCCTCCTCCTCTAGCGGAGTCTGGTTCTACGTCGAGATCCACCTCAGAAGTACCAAGAACCCCGTAAGTGCGACCTTGAAACCTCTGGAAAAAATATGTCATCACTTTGATAAGCCCCGTGCCCAAAATGAACTGTAAATAAAACAGTTGCTGTGAAAGCCTTACCTCCATGTGAATTTTCCTGAGGGCAAAAGGTTTTGGAAAAAGCATCCATGGGACAGCGATGAATGCCAGAAGCAATAACATAATCTGCGGATTATTGTATCTTGTGTGAGTGTCAAGTGGAGTAGGACGGAAAAATAAACCAATGTAGCTTTGGATAAAAAAAGAGAGAAGGAAAACGTGCCTGAAGCGAACGCTGGCCCCAGAACAACTCATTTTCTCCAAGTTCTTCGGTGGGACTCAGAAACATGTAGATCATTACATGATACAAGTCTGCTTGAGATCCAGTGCACCACTTGATGATGATGAGCAGTGAAAGATAACCGAAGAGGCTGTTCAGAAATATCATCTGAGGTATAAACTGATACCTGATGACACATTACAAAGAAGCCATCCCGGTGGTTTTAAAAACATGAAAGAAGTCAGAAGGTTTGGAAGATAAAGTAACAAATAAGCCAAACCTTATGTCCAATGAAGAGCCAAAAAAGCGAGCATTAAAGAAACTTAATATTAGTCCCAGATTCATCTGAGCAATTCCCAGCAGAATAGACATCTTCATCTTAAGAGAGTTTAGGTAAGGCAGTTCTGTACGACTTCCACGCCAACTAGGATCAACGCCAAAAGGGTATGGATCACGGTACTTGACTAAACCAACCGTGTAAGCATCACTGGAAAAAAAGTAATATGCGTATCAGCAACAGATAGAATAATAATAATAATAAAGAAAGATACGACTCCTTACTAAAGACATCAGAGATTCAAACAAAATACATACCTACAAGTAGTATCTCTGCATTTGTAAGCTGAACCACCAAAGATATGGAAAGGAACAGAGAAGAACTCATTGTAGATAAGCCCACAATATATTGAAAAAAGTGCCATTAGTAGGATTACATAGCGGCCTCCAAAAAGCATCTCCATAAAGCTTCCAAGTTTCTGGTAAAGATAAGACACAGAAAAGTCATACCACATAGGTTGAAATTTTACATAGGGTCAATGATATTCACACCACAACAGTTCTTTTTTAACCCTCATGTTAACCTATATCCTACAATGAAAAGATGAACTAAGTGCAATTGCTGTATATTCTATACCGACTCTAAATAATTACAATTCACCATCTTTCATTTGGAAAATAAAAATCCTCTAAGAGCACAGGAAATTGCATCACAAGCTGAGAGCACGAGAATGTAACATAACTATTGCTGCAGCTCACTTCAAAACTGAAGGTACAAAATATATATTAGCCACAAAACAAAACTCTATGTTATGGTGTTATCTCAAAGCCAGTATTGAAACTGGTTTCTCGTTCAACTAATACAAAAACATGTACCATACCTGCGTACTCAGCTTTCTTTCACGAGCAAGAAGATACAACGCTCCTAGCAACAAGCATAGACCATGACCCCAATCACCAAACATAACAGCAAACAAAAAGGGATATGTGACAACTGAATACACTGCAGGGTTTGCCTCTTGATATCTCGCAACACTGCCAGGTAAGCATCAAGTCAAACACACAATGGAATGGTGATCAGCGGAAATAAATTGGCATATGCAATCAACAAATAATTTGATTAAGAAGATTTGAAATGAAGAAAGTTAAGCTTTGATAGAAAGCAGCCAGTTATTCTAAAATCATGTATGTATGATGAAGGAAACACAGGAACAAAAACTTGCATCTTAATGATGAGGTAATGGTCAAAAGTGGAACTAACCCGTAAGCATCAATAATCTCCTGGAAGGCATTTGTAAGTTTGTTCGTTCTGAAATAGGTGGGAGGTGATTCTACTGCTTGCATTACATGAAATATAACGCCCACCTGTGAATTGCTGTCGAAAGTGGCTCGCTGCAGGACCTCATGAATCTGCACATAAGTTGTTGATGAATTGCACTTGCAACGAAATGATAGTCGAGTGTGTAAAAGTGTAACAACGTTGTAGTATACCTGGGTCTTAGCAAATGTGGGGCACCAACCTTCGCCAACAAGGCATTTCTTGGTTACATCAAAATTTAGCATATTCAGAGTATCATAAACTGCTTTTTCTCTCCGAACCTACCAGTGAAAGGCCAGCTAAAATCATGGATGTACCATACTGTATGGACCATAAATCCCACATATACTTCATATAATTAAAGAAAAAAAAACTAATTGCAGATGTTATTTCTTACCGTGGTCATCCAGTTAGTCAAGCTATAGCCAACAGAATTAAGGGCATTATTCCGATGGCGAGTTCCAGCATCTAATGTGGCTTCCAGATCAGAGAGTCGGGATAAAACCTACACACCAGATACATTGATAATTTAGGAACACCATAGTGTGATGCACACAGTGTGACAAAGAAATAAACAGTCACATATGATTGGATACAAAAGTCAGTAACAAATCATATGAACGAGATGAAATCAACTTGCAAAAATCGCTTTACAAAAACATTGTATAGAAATATCTTCAAATAGCTCTATCTAAATAAGAACACGTTTTGGAATGTTCAACTTACTTCTCTAGTAAGCTGCCTCTGCTTTGTTGTATCCTCAGGGACAGGATAGCAATTTGCACCAAATGCTTCACATATTTTCAATATTTTTGTCCTCGCTTGCTCCCCAGAAAAGAATACCACAAATACAACTTTCTCCACCTACGAGCACAAAACCAGTTAGTAAATAAGCATCTCACTGAATTAACATATGATCACTGAGATAAGAGATTATGCTGACCATTTCTGATGTTGAAGGATCCATGATTTCCTCATCAGAGGTTGTTTGGTTGAAAAGCATATTGCCTCTTGTTGCACGAAACAACATTCTTTCAAACCTAAGAAGTTTGTCTTTGTTGATGATTCCACTAATAAATCTCAATCCTGATTGATTAGAGGGTCCAGGATTCATTTCCTGTGAATAAAGTGACTGTTTTCTTAGTAAAGATAATAATGAGATTCCAGGTAACAACAGTAAAATGGAAACTTTGACATGCAATCACCTGCTCAAGTAAAGAGGCAGTCTCAATAAAACCGTTATTAGAGTAGGTGCTTTCATGTAGTTCTGTTTCATCTCCAATTGCATGAGCATTACTTGAGACAAGGAAACCACTTGCCTGTAAAAAAAAAAGTAAAAAGAGCAATATATGAGAAGTTAAGCATAAAGAGAGGAAGTTAGATGAAAACTGAACAACAGCTACTGCGCTATATAACCTTGTCAATTACTAGATATAGATCTGAGACGAAGGCAAATACACATACCTTCTCAAGAACTATCTTGAATTCAAGAAGTTCGTTATATGTCTGCCGAAGCTTTTCACTGTTTGAATTCATTTCAAGTACTTCATGCTCGTGATCAGCAAGTTGTCTCTGCCAGAGAAAGCAATTGACGATGCAAGAAAAAAGTACAAGTGTCATAAAAAAGCAAGTCATCCCACAACAAAAGATGGATTGAAATAGAGACTTCTCAGCCAAAACAGAGTTATAAAATTGAATTCTGACCTCTAAATCTCCAAGTTCAATATCTGGTTCTATTTCATGGCGTGGTGAACATCTTAGACCAGCTTTATCAATTTGATCTTTAAAAAATCGCAGCTTTCTTGACATCTCACCACATCGTTTTACCTGTTAAAAGCCCCCAAGAATTTGCATAAGCAAAAAAGCTCTGTGCCTGAGAAAGTTTTCACCACATACCGCTTGATATCGAAAATAAATGTGGTTAATAAGCATTTGTACATGTCAAAGTTGTATTTTGGAAAACATATTTTCAGTGCAGCAATTAAGTAAATACCCAGACCAGCCCATATATATCCACTCCAAATCTCTAAGCTACATCAAACTCCTAGAAATTTC